GTGTTCCGTGGCGAAATGGAATTTCGCCGAGGAATCTCGCTGGATTTCCGGGCTTAGAGAAGCAGATACGGGTAGCTGAAAGTATTATTTTGTTGGATTTTCGGTGAATGGGAGAGATGGAAATGTGTATGTTTGTGTTTGACAGTGAAACGGGAAATAGAAATATTTTTTGCATGACTTTTTCATCTTCTTGTTGGTTAAAATTCACGAACAACTTCTTAGTGTTGTAAACGTACGTAGATTTATTGAATTCGTTGAACAACGATCTAGTATGATGGTAAATGAAATTTTTGACCGACTATCTACTACGATGATTCATACGATAGTTAGTGTAATCCACGTTTGTAATCAATGTTTGTTTCTGTTGAAGTGGTCACCACTTCTAAGAAAACTCTACATCTGGTCTTTTTAGTTTTCTCAAGCACCGAAGCCATCGACAGCGTATAGACAAAAGACTGCGACGAAGACGGACCATAAACAATAGACAAGCGACGTTGGCTTCAGGGTTTTCAGTTATTGGGTAACACATCTAGCGTGCGGATCTGGACCAGCTCAAATTGTATTCTTACTTATAATTACTCTTCTATTTAAATATATTTTCTACCTTATAATTTATCCACGAGTTTCTCTGTTTACACATCAAATAACCCCAACAGTTTTGAAGAAAACTGTGAATTCTAGGCAATTAGGATAACAGGAGTATTTAAATTACGTGGTTGACGTGGTTCCAAAAGAATTTTGGAAAGAAATTCATGCAAATTAATAGAAGCTAGAATTCATTGATAGAAATAATACGTATTTCTATCTCTTGTTATTTCTACGTATGTGTTCCTAAATTTCGTGCTTCACATGTCATCATACATAACATAGTTGTTAATATTTATTTTCTGTAAACAGTTCAAAGGTATATTCAAGGTTCTACTTATTTGTCAAATCGTTCGTTCCAAATTTCTATTATGTCAAAGGATTAAGATTTCGACAAGGTTATTTCAAAGTAGTACAAAGCTGGTAAGAAGATTCTGAATCAGGATCTACTGATATAGGATGCTTAGAGTCGAAGAAAATAGCAGAAACACTGGGATTTTCTACTGAAATATTCTTTTTAATGATAATATTATTTAAAGCCTAAGAAGATGGTAGGAAACCAACGTTCAATTTCAAAAAGTAAACGAACGTAACAGAGAGGCAGAGTATTAAAATCCTGCTTTGTACGATACCTAATAAGAGGAAATCTGTTTGTGGATAGAAAATCGGTTTAGTTCAGCATCATAATAAAGAATGCTGCAAGTTTCGACAAAATAAAGAACACGAAAGATGAGAATGAAATATTCTAAAGCCTGGATTCTATTCAGATAGCTAACCATGTACATATATATGTATGTATAGGTGTGATTTTGTAGAAATTTGAAATACGAAACTTGGGGAATTGAAACCGAGGGAAACCAGAGGCGATCCATTGAAAATCTACCGAAATTCGCTGCTCTCGTGAAAAAAGGGCGACGAAAGATAAAAAAAAATTTTTGCTTCAGCAAATATCCCAAATATACCGAAATAATTTTCTCCTCTGGAAATCAAAGAATTTCCAAACGACTGAGCTATCGAACTATGAATTCTTCTAAAAAAAGTTGAACGTACGAAAAATTCATCGAAAGATCATAGATTCATGAACTCCTGGAAACGCTTACATTTTCGAGACGTGTTCTTCGTGAAAGCGAGATTACTTACATTCTTGCTTAAATGTGAAGTATTCCGTGAGATGACGGCATTCGTGGTTGCCTCTGAGAAGAAACAGTGTGTTTGGATGGCACAGCTTAAGTGCCCACAGGTACAATACGCACTGCAACAGAGAAGAGACAAATTGTCATTTTAATATGCCAGCATTTTTCTATATTATCGTGTCTCGTAATCGAAATCTATAATCTTTTATTCACGATAGAATTTTGGCTATAAGTTATTGTCCAACTAAATATAGTATTTTGGTTTAAAGTTCGAACAACAACCAACGATTATAAAGAAGTGGAAATGGAACGGTATATGAGAAACAAGTTTTTAAAAAAAAAGTCGTTCGAATCGCCAAAAAAACGCACGCTTACAAATTTATCAATTTCCTACGGAAGTTTACGAATTTTAGTTGACGCGGTTCCACCGGTCATAGCAATATTTATAAATACCGTTAATATTTATGTTATTTATATCGCGAATAACAGATTTAGTGCACGAACGCTTCTATAAATTCTATAAATTCACGAATCGCGATAGATTAAATGGGGAACCTGGGGCGGAAAATAAAAGATTCAAAATTATCGGACTGAAAATTGCGGGTATTTTTTCTCCCAGGATCTTTGTAGTGTTGCGTTGGCGCGAGCGAACAACGCGAGAACATCGATGGCGACCCGCTTTATTTTCCCGGGAAATTTGCTTTTTATAGAGGCCTGGCCCGGCTGAGCGATTCCAGCGCGGAGCTGAAAACGCGTTATTTATCCGCCCGTCTTTCCGTCTCTAGTCTCTATTTCTCTCGGTTTCGCGCCCTGGCTCTATAATTTATAACGCGCCATGAATTACATTTACCGTGTTGGAACGAACGAATTGTACTACGATGCCTCGTGTTCAGACCTACAGAGAAAACGAAAGAATTCCAACACATGTAGACACCATTTACGAGCATATTATGTATGTTGCGAGAAACATTTTGAAATAGCGTTATTATGAGACTCGTCTATCATGATTGTATTCCTAAAGACTGAAAACGAATTGGAAAGAGTATACAGAGGATACGAAATTTTCCGTGCAAACATATATTTCGCGGAGATCGCAAAAGTATTTAAACAATATGAATACAGAACAATGCAAATTTTTGTCGTTTATACGAAACAATGTAGAATTTAATTATTCTATATTCATATATTATTTTTAAATAACAATATTCAATAATATTTATAAATAAAACTAGCGATATTTGTAAACAAAATTTGTCGCAAAATTTGTATTTTGAAGATCGTAAAAGTATCTAAACAATATTATACAGAACAACGCAAGTTTTTGTCATTTATACGAATCAATAAAAGTGTTTAATCATTCTATATTTATATATTATTTTTAAATAACAATATACAATAACATTTATAAGAAATAGCGATATTTATAAACCTTTATGACCGAGATTTGTAAACATTTTGAAGATCGCAAAAGTATCTAAACAATATTATACAGAACAACGCAAGTTTTTGTCATTTATACGAATCAATAAAAGTGTTTAATTATTCTATATTTATATATTACTTTTAAATAACAATATTCAATAACATTTGTAAGATATTTGTAAATAGCGATATTTATAAAAGTTTATTAACGAAATTTGTAAACATTTTGAAGATCCTGAAGGCAATTAAATAATTCATAGCAATTACGCTATATTATATTACATTACATTATAGTATCGCTACTAACAACTATAATATTTATATATTTTTTATTAGATAGAACATTACAATCGATTCTCACAGAGAATTTTTATGAACACCTGTATATAGAATTAACAATATTTATAAACGTTTACGAATAAAAATATACGTGTCGTTTTCCATAGAATCGAGACATTCTATAGGAATGAATCAAAACATTGCATCGTATGAAATACAAAGTTCGGTGGAACTTTACTGTAAAGATCACAAAGGCATTCATGGTGATAGAAAGAAGCATTATTCGCTTTATTTCAGGCGTTGGTTAATTAATTGCAGTGACCGGCTCGACGCGAGACGACGAAATTAGCGGAACTGGCATGCACCGCGAACAAAAGCGCCTACGCGAAATCTTCGTTCACGTTTCAACGCAATTGGTCGGCACGTAATTAATCTTCCCGTTTTCTCTTTTTCTGTTTCTCGCAACGCGCGTTTAATACGAACTACAGGCTGTTGAGGTTGCATCGTCAATGATAAAAGTGAGAATTCTGGCAGAGAAGTAGCAAAATTCCTTTCCTTTTATACCTCTGCAGTTTCATGATTAAGCGTACAGTTGTTTGAGATTTCGCATCACGCTAACACTACCTTGGGCAGTGTTAGTAACTGGCTTTTAGTTAAAAATAGTTACTATATAAATATAAATCGATGGAGATACGAAATATGCAGATATATAGATATATCTATTATTGGAAGCTAATCTAAAATTAAAGCAACACTCAGAATTGGGAAATCTAATGTGAATTATGTAAACTAAACTAAACTAAACAAGAGATGATGATTCTATTATGCACGATGATTTACGGCGTCAGACGATACTATTAAATCACAACTTCGTTTTAATGCGTATATTCTAATTCAGGAATAGAATGGACATAATCGATCGTTGTCAATTGCTATTGCGATGTTAATAAATGCTACCATTAATTTAACAATATTTGCGATTAAAACCAAGCGATATAACGTAACTAATTTCTAACCGTTAAGCGTACTACAATTACGAAAATTTGCATCCCCCTAGGGATTTAAGGAAATTCAAGTAAAATCTACCCGAAGAAACTCGTCGCTGAAAAGGATGAAAACTTTTCTGAGAAAAAGAGCTCGCAACGCTGCTCCAAAATATTAGGTTGTCCGAAAAGTGTCTTTCTTTTACAGACAACGATGCATCTTTATACAAACATGAAACCTAATCTGTATATGTATTTATCTCGATAAAACAAAATGGATCATACGTAATTCGATAAAATAATATAAAACGGAAAATGTTGTGCATCCGTTATTTCCTTATAAAACGAAAGAAACTTTTCGGACGACATAATAGCTAGGAAAAAATGAATTACCTAACAAAATACCAATGTTTTCTCAAATTTCATTAAAAATTTCCCATCCAACCTAGTCCCAATACATAAACTCATTCTCATTCATAAATTCTCTCCAAAATCCAAGAAAAAAAAAAAAAAAAAGGAAAAAGAAGAGACAGCCCACTTACAATCCCACAACAATAATTTATTTCCGATGAAAGCGCATCGATGAAGTGCACGTACGGTTCGGCGGAAAACAATCGTCGAAACTTGGCCGCGTTAGTAAAATCGATATCGAAGGAAGGGCGAATGGGTGGCGAGAAATGGGAGAAGTCAGGAGGAGGGGCAGGGCCAGGCTATGTTTTATTCATCGTGTATACATTAACCGTTTGTTTCAAATGCGGGTATCCACAGGTATTAATGCACGTCGCGCATATTCCACGACCTAGGGAACAATCGCGTATAAGTAGCTATGAATACGCGTGAACGTGCGTCGCCGCTATTGTTCCTGACCGGGCTGGCTTGATAACAGGATTATGAGTGCATTTTCGTTTTATTAGGCGAGATGCCGCCGGCTGAGACACGTTGCGAGTCACCGACTTCATTATCAGAGGCACGTGAAACAGCGAAATTATGGTAATTCCAAAAGACTAGGAGAATCGTCGCGACATATCAACGTCGATTCGATGATTTCAGGATATCTTAATCGTAAATTTTTTGAAAATCGCAATTTTCCTATCCATTTGCCATTGTTATTTAACCTATTAAGCATCCGCTGGCATAATGGGTCCTTGCGTTCCAGGCGAAATTTTCATCGCTCACTTTCTCCAAAACGAGGGTGTCAGACTTGTCGCGCCTGAAAAACCTTGCACCAACAAGGCTTTGATTGCTCAAATACCGTGTACTTCGCTCCATTCAGTTCCGAATACCGTAAAGGTAAAATAAGCGCTGTGCTTCCAGTGACCCGTATTGCCGCCCACAGTCTTTCTGATAAATAAGTGACACTGATGCAAAAATTGTGTAAAATATATGTAATAATAAAATCTTGTGGAATTTTAATAAATTATTTTTTCAACTTTTTAATTCGTTTCTATGAATCATTTGATCTTCCAAATTAACGTCTCGTATCGTTTTTCGATAATAATACAATAAAAAATTCCGCAAACATAGATCTCAGATTAATTATACTTTTCTAAGGCAAATTTCTTTATATTTTTGATCCTGAATGATCATGATCCTGTGGGCAAAATCCTACAATTACTTGTTTTATATAATTATTTATTACAACACTGTGTACTATCAAATAACTTCGCGTCGAAATTTTATTTTTATTACAGAAAGGTGCAAACACTTGGTTGAAATATCACTTGTATAATAAACGAGAGACTATAGTAAGTACCTGAGAATATTTTCAGATTTTTTAAAGCCCGAAACAACGAGAAACCAGGCTAGGAAATGGAAGATTGTGCGGTTCACATTAGTCGAAAACCATATTCCCGTCAGTGGGTTAAGTACCTGAACTTTCGGACGTTAGCGGGGAGACGCGATCTCGAAGAAGCGCGCCAACGCGAGTCGTAAATTCCCGTTAAGATTCGACTAATCGACGCCACGAATCGTTCGATCCCTTATTTCTTGTGGGATAATAAGGGCGGTTGATCGAATATAACGCTGCTATTAACAGGTTACTATATATTTTGAATGATCCAACAACTTCAGTGTGATACAAGATTGCGTATTTGAAATGACAACTACGAATGAGTACGATCTTTCGTGTCGGCTATGATGATGTATCTTTTGTCGATTGACTGTCTTCGACTTGTAGATTGACTTCTGACTCTTGCTGTCCTTTGACTCGAGTTGATGTAGACTGACTGATGACATTTGTCTGTTGAATGTTACTATGGAACAAGTCTAGTGTAGTAGAGGAAGTTGAGTTGACCCTCCTGATGTCGTTGAAGAAGTGAAGTTCGTTCTTATATGATTACGGAGGAAAGCTCGATAAGGGTGTGCCCTTTGAACGAAGAACGTGGATTCGTTGCTCACACCTTTCGTCAGGAAAGTGAGGGTAACGATCCGCGATG